GTGAGGGGGGTGGTGGTGGGGGTCGGTGTGGGTGGGGCGTGGAGCGGGGGGGGGGGGGGGGGGGGGGGCTCAAAAGCTCCACATGTACCATTATGGCAGGTTCCATGGACAGATCCTGCTGGTTTCAGTTCCCAGCAGAAGAAGGTGGAGATATTTGAAGTATAATGTAAAGCAACTTTAAACTGGAAGTTTCTGCTTTCATGTCATGTCAAACTGTCAAGCTGTACTTTCACTTGAAGGTAATGTTTTATATTTTCTTTTAAGGGTTTCAGCATTTGGTTTATAATACAAAGTTTACCAGAATCATGAGAACAAACATCTCCTACTCTATATAATTTGCTATAATACAGTTGTTTTTCCCCCCATTTTTATTCTCTAGCTCATTCTGGTTGTTCCCATATGAAAGTGAACGCAGCTTTTGTCAAACAAGAAATGTCATTTGTTTTACCGGTGTTCTACGTGAGAAGGTAATCGCTCTGTAACTACTCTTAAAGGTCACTTGTGCTGCAGACTTGAAATACAGTAAGTGCTGAGAAGCATCCAATAGAACTGAAAGTGTCTGAGCAGAGGGGTCTTTAGAACAATAAACAGCAGCCCATAGTGTCATGCAACATGTAACTGGAACAAGAGGCAGTAATCAATGACCTTGATCATTTACCAACAGAGTAACAATGAGCAGGTCTAATGACCTTTAATTGATTAGTGTTAGTTTAATGCATTCATGCTGATTGATAGCATATTGTGCTGTCCCATACCCTGACCTCCTGTATGATCTGGATGCAGGGTCTCAGCTCGGACAGTGAAATGAGTCATCACTAAGTCATTGGCACAAATAAGATGCTCGTCAGAAACAGATAATTACCTTACATTTGTTTACTCTTGTTTTCATGTTTTTCCGGGAGATAATCATTTTGTTGACTGTTTCCTAATTGGCCATTCGGAGCTTTCAGTAATTCTGTAACCTTTTGTCTGCTTCTGTTCTAGATCAAACATCTTGCCTCACCATAAATGGCAGAAATTAGAACCGAGCCACTTAACTAAGGCAGAGCTGTTAAAAAGTTTAAGACTATAATTATACGAGTGATTTCCAGGAATCAATCTTGCCTCTTCAACTCACTTTTCCATTAGACGAGTCTCTGGCAATTATATCGTTTGTGCATCAAGAGCCATTCAAAAGTCACTGATTCATCCTTTACCTGTTGCTTGTTTAATGGAGAAGTGGTCTGGAATAAGTGGCGTTTATGTAACCGCCTACTGGCCATTCTGTGGCTTTTTATTTGCTCGGTTCACCAACACTGTCTTTCTCTTCCTCTCACAGCTTAAATGAGCTTTCAGCTTCTCGCTGCATCGTTTTCAAAGACTCATGGTTGGATGGACTTCATTAATTTTCTTCTCTGCTGGTAAACAAGCACATTGCCTAATTATGAGCCATCCCAAATAATGAGCACAAACATCTCTGTCTTAATACGCCAAGAGTTTTAAAGGGCTACACCAACTGCGTGCGAATGCCCAGATAGACGCGTTAACGGGAACTAAAAGGACGTGCATGTGATGAAGAAGGTGGTCTGACCATGTCCGAGTCCACTCCTTTCTGCTCCAGCAGCAGGGGCTTCTCCTCCGTGATCTGCTGCTCCTTCATCCCCGCCATCCTGGACAGCAACCTGCAATCGCCATGGCAACATAGGAAAACAACACACATTGATGGTTACATTATTCTTGCATCATGCAAAGTACTTTCTGTGCTCAGAGATATTAATATGTAAAAACAAACAAAAAAAGATTTTTCTATCATGATGGGAAAGTTACACATCCTGCTTGAGTGTTT